CAAGCCTGGGGAGAAAGGATGCGTAACATTGATTGGGCCTTGAAGTAAACCCTCTAGAGACCTCTGGGGTGTGCTGAACTAGTTTCCTCCTACAGTCTGATCACATGTCCTGAATGGAACAGAGTCCTCCATGATGGATGGATGGATTGGTTGGGATCCTTGGAAATGGATCCTCTCCTCCTTCTCATTCAAGCTCTTTCTCTCGTTAACTCTTAAGGATGTTGGAGACCTCACTCAGTGGGAAAAGCAAAGGGATGGAGGCCAATGAGACTGCATGTGGCTTCTAGCTTTGGCCCCCAGGCAAGTCACCCAGCCTTGCTTTATCTCTTTATTTTGAGGTACTGGGGATCAAACCTAGAGCTTCACAGACTAGACATGGAGCACAGGCTTACATAGAATCCCTTAAAAGCACTAAGTGACCCCAAAGGTGTTCTGTGAGCCCATGAGTCGTAAATCAGTCATTGACAGTTTGAAAATATAGGCTGTCCATAGAGCTTTAAAGTCAAACTAGACTTAGGGGCCACCAAGTCCTGCCAAGGATGATCTCCCCTACTCCCAGGTTATTTAGTGATGGTGGATTCAGAACTGCTTGGTCCTGGTTGGGGGTTTGGTTTGTGGGGACGAGTTGACCCATGGGCTTACAGTCACCTTATGCTCTACTAAGAATCTCTGCCCATCTTCCATTTTCTCCAGGGCAGGGGTAGGGTATAGAGCCACTGAGGTTGGGAGCTGGTCCACCCTTCCTCCCAACCCACCTCAGCAACTGGCTCCCTGTGAAACCAGCAGCTCTATGCTGGGACATGACAAATGACCAAAAAATCAATTTGTAATCTGATTGGAGGTTTTTGATTTCCTCTGATGAGTTTAAATTTCATTAAAAGCAACCTTATTCCAACATAAAAAGAATCCTTGAAGGGTAAAACAGGGGATTGTCTCACCCAGTATAAAGCATTCCCCACTCTTTTGTGTGATTTATTCATGGCGTTAATTGTAAGGGCCAGCCCGCCGTGTCTGCTGGCAGCTGTGTTGTTATCAGGGCCTGGAATCGGCCCGGGCGGGCTCAAAGCACAAGGACTCACATTCAAAACTCGCTCTTCGGGCATATTGACACTTCAGTTATCAACAGTCCTTTTTTTATCTGCGGGGAGGGCACTCCAAGCTCGTGGGGCCAGAATAAGCTAAGCATCCACGCCATGCCTCTCTGAGTTCTCCTAATTGTATGTATTCTCTGAAAAAATGATCATCGTGGCCTCTTGTCTTGATGAGAAATTGACATTTTCGGAGGACTTCTTTGGGTGCTCCAAGCAGGGGAGATAAGGGCCGGAGTTGTTTCAAAGCGGAGCAGCCTTTCTTTCCTTTCAGGGGCCTCTTTATTGCTCTCGTTGACCCACTTGATGAGTATGGATTTCACGAGGTCTTTTTCAGCATTTGAACTATAAAAGGTTCAGCACGACACCACCCCTTATAGACAAAAGATAACCTTGCCCTTTGAATATATTGATTCTTTATTAACTAGGCTGTTTAATGCAATGAAATGAGGCATTAGATTGAAGCCCATTTCAAGTGCTTTGAATAATCTTTAAAAGCTTGAAAGATCTTAAAGGGAGCCCTGACAAGACTCCGCATTCGCTTTTGAGAGAATTGGTTCTTGCTTCTGGTTTGAAACCCAAGCATTTGAACAGAACCTGGCACACAAGCTCCAAAAACCTGAGCAGAGTTCCTGGTCCCAGCTCAAAGGGATGAAGCTGGGCTTTGGGCAATACCTTCCCCAGCCCCGGTGACACGGGACTGGCCAACCTAAGTGGGCTTTGTGCCAATGGGAACCTATTTCTTTACTGTCTCTTTAAGGCCAGCCAGCAAAGGCTCATCACTGACGGGAGGGAAAGGTATTCACAAGTTTCTTTATGTTTTGAATAATTGTTTCCTGTTTTGCTCAGCAGAACAAGTAATTAAGATGACATTCGTTGAGTACTAATTTAGATCACACTTATGTGAATGTGTGACAGAACCGCAAGCCAAAACATGCAAAGCCTGCCTCTCATTGAGGAGAAAATGGAACGTGCCCAGTGAAATTGAATGGGGTAGCGGAGCCGCGCAGGCACTGTGTAAACCAGAATTGCTGCCGATGGCTGAGCTCGTTGGAGTCCCAGCCTTGGCCTCCATCTTTGTGGAGCCTCCAGTGTCCAGGGCAAAACACCTCTGTGCCCACAACATGTACCAATACTGCAATCCTTTCTCTCGAGCCATCGGCCTGGCTCCCATGGGCATGGTGTCTGTCTACAGCATTGATAGGCTCTTCTGACCTGGTTCTTGCCAAAGGGGACATAGGGACACAGGTAGTGGTGAGTGTTGGAGGAGCCAGAGCAGGTGCCGTCCAGCCATGCAGTTCAGAAAGCTGGTTACCACGCCTCTCCCACCCATAGGACCATTTGCAGGATCCTCCCACCCCAGTGTTGTTGTGGCCCAAGTGACTGTGACAGAAACAGTTCAGGCCTGAGTGTGTGGGCATCACGTATTCTTATGGTACCTGTGGCATCACAGCCACCGTAGGAATTGCGCCCACTGAGTTTTCAGAGTTGAAAACTCTGAAAGGTTCTTTGAAGTCCTTTGGATCTTGGTGAGCCCTAGCTCTGGGGCCCAGGGTGTGGAAATGAAATCCCCAATTCATTTTTCAGTCATTTTAATAGGCAAACAGATAAAATTACCCAAAGTGAAATTCACAGACAAGAAATACTTTAATTAAATATTGTGTAAAATGAACATTTTTATACAGTTAAATATCTGAAAAAATGTACAGATAAAACAATCTTATTGTAGGGTCTCTGACAGCAAAATCTACCATTTAGTGAAGCTCTGGTTTTTTGACACAATGAAGCAATGAGGGCACCGACTAGTCGGTCTACAACACAAACCGGGTGCGGGCATGAGGATACTTGCTAATGTGTGCGTGAGTTCCTTTTAGGTCAAACCCTTACTTACACAAAATAAATCGAGGCAATTTAGTTCCAAAGTGACTTCTCAGGCTGTTCCATGTAGCTAAGCCCTGTCAGGAGTCACAAAGCCAGAGTGTGACCCACTGACCACTGGGGACATTCTGTTTGTCTTATTGAGTCCCTTGAATGGACACGTTCTAAGCTATACATTGTTTCTTTGTGTATGTGTGTGTCTGATATTTGAAAATTCCCTCCTTTTTGTTTTTAATATGACTTCTGCTGCTGTTTACAAAGTGTGTGCTCTCTGCAAGGGCAATGGGTGTGAAGGAAAAAGAAAAAGTAATTCTGACTCTTGGTCTCACGGTGGATTTGGCACTAACAGGCACAGTGTCTGAAGGCGGTCTTTCCACTTAAAAAAGTACAGACAGTGCTGTTGGATCTGACCACAAACAGGTATTGTTTAAAAGAAAAAAAAGAGCAGCCGTGTTCCCATGACACCTCTCTAACATCGGGGTGAGCTGGAGTGGTCAGAAAGCAGCAGACAGATGCAGGAAGGAGTGACTGACGGACTGGAAGTTTGTGCTTTTGGGGTGTGTGTGTGCGTGCACGTGTGTGCGTGCACGTGTGTGTGTGCACGTGTGTGTGTATGTGTGTGTACTGTGTGTATGTGTATGTGTGTGGTGTGTGTTGTATGTTGTATGTGTGTGATATGTGTGTGGTGTGTGTTGTATGTGTGTGTGCTGTGAGTATGTATGTGTATGTGTGTGTGTTGTGTGTGTGCTCATGTGTGTGTTCATCATCAGTCTCCAAATGTTAACAATTGTGGTATAAGCCTGTGATAAAGTAGCACAGAAGTTCTTTGAAGAAGTTCACTTTTAAGGCATCAGAGAAGTTAATGTGGCAAACATTTGCAATTAAAACATCAGAAGTAAATTTTATTTTAAACTTTAGGCCTCTGAATTTTTCCAGTAAACACAGTTCAGCTATGTGGCAAAGTCCTAGGTGGCAGCTAAAATGACTTGGGTTTTTTTTTTTTTACATTCTACAAAAAAAAAAACAATTAAAAATAGAAACTAAAATAAGGACCCAGCCCGGACGGTGTGGCCCCTCACGGCCGCTCCTCATGCACAGGATCTACTAGGATTTTTCGCGGCCGCTGACACCGTCTGCTTTTGACTATACAACAAACTTTTCTTTTCAAAAGTATTTGTTCAGATAACTTAAAAATAATATAAAAATAAACAATGAATTTGACTTTTCCTCAACATAAAAAAAAAGGGATGGAAAGTCCAAACAATAACGAATGGTTTAGGTACAAATGAAATGGAAGGACATTGACTCATTTTAACAAAACAGATCAAAGAGACAGTTCTTGGTGTCTGTTCTTTCCCTGTGTGGCAGCACTGGGCAGGATCAAACACCAATACAGACGTGAGAAAAGAAGACAGGGAAAGCAATGTACAAAATTTCAAAGATAAATACAATATTTATAATTGATATGTTACAAAATAAAGTCCCTTAGCAATTGCAAGTGTTCATGGGAAAGGAAGTGTCGCACGAAAGAGCATTTATTCCTTATAAGACGCATAAGGAATAAAACTCGTTTTTCTAAATATTTTAAGTGGATCTGAAAAAAATTCAAGACAAGTGTATAAATATTTAGCTACAACTTTGGCAAAATCACAAAAGTCTACAATTTTATAACCACATACAAAACACATCGGGGAAGAAGGGTCTAGAAGTCAAAAGGACAATTTCATGTACAAGAAACATAGACCTCACAGTAGCCTAAGAATGCAATAGGTTTACAGTGCGCAAAAGTTGAAAAAATGTTGCCGATCGCACTTGCTTTAACAGGAAGCTCTAGGTGGGAGAATATTGGAACCAACAGACAGTAGCATATTTTTTTTTCTCTGTCAGTGTGCTTGTTGAAGGCAAGAGATTCGATATCAAAGTTACAATTTCTAACTACAATAAGTTACAAAGTTTCATTTCATTAAGATGAAGTTAAGCAATGATAAACCCTCCCTCCCTCCCTCCCCGCCACCCCGAATTCACCTAGTCATATCCTCCTCTGTTCCAGTTAATGGCTCATACCTCCTTGGCCCCCTTTTTTTCACCACAAAAAAATATTTCACATTATAGAGATACACAACCATTGTGAATCTAAATATGAGTACAGAAAAATGTTTCGAGGCTTTCCTTCCTCAGTGTTGCATGGGCATCAAAATGGTGCATATTCACGAAGCTTCTCCCCACACAGATAGCACGCACTAGACAGCCAAGACGGAATCAGAAACTTTATACAAAATAGGCGTCGCTTTGTTTTCCTTAATCTTCAGGACTGAGAAATGTGAAAATATGAGAAAAGTTCAGTCAATAAAATGGAATTGTTCATGAAGAAGTAGGCTTTGTTCGCGTGTTGGTTCTTAACAGTTTAAATAAAATCTTTAAATGTCTTTTGTAGCATTCAACCGCTGCTGATGATTAGTTTTGAAGGTATCGTTTCCATCAGCATGTCTTAGCACACTACATGTGTCCCCTGAAGTCCGTCCTTGGATGCTGGGTGCTGTGAAGGTAAACAGAGTCCCTCACATGGGCGGGACTACCAGCCCAGACATAGCTGCAAAAGAGAAGGAGAGAGCGGTTAATGCCGACCACCCCGCACGCGCACCCTCCTGCGGGCCCAGCTCGCTCCTCCTGGGCCAGGATCCACAGGGAAGCCAGACTCTGGCAACTCTCTGTATAGCCAGCGTTGCTCGTGGCAGAGGTGTGTTGGGAAGTCTACTTCTTGGGGTGAGGGCACACTGGTGGCAAGTTTCCTGCCAGCCTTTTCGGTGCTGCCGCCCTCTGTTAACCTTCTCTGCAAGAGGGAACGCTCTGCTTTGCATATGTCCCCAAAGCAAAGGGAAGCTCACTCTCTGGAAAGACGGGAACCATCCTGGCCATAGCTTGCAGGCCTTGCTTTTCCTAAGTGAAATTGGAGACTTGCCTCAGTTTCCCCACTCTGTCTTTGGGCCCAAGCTCTGACCTCTGACTAGCAGCTCTGTAGCGTAAGGGTGAGTCAAGCTCTCAGATGGAAGCCACACAGGGCCCAACTGCTCTGGAATCTCAAGGCCCCGGATTGATGGAGGTGCCAGAGCGCCTCAGACTGCTGTTTTCTTCTCCTCATAAGGTGAGAGAAGCTCGGCACTGAAGCGCCAAGTGCAGCCAGCTCTGTAGTGAACTCCTGGTCCGAATGTAATTTAAAATCTTTTAACTCTGGTGTTGTTTAATTTTTGTCAGAATGACTGTTCTCATTAATTTATGTATAACATATTAATACATTTGTTCATGTAGTGATGTGAGCTTCAATTTCTCAGTCCATTAATTTCAACGATATTAATTTATCTCCGACTCACCGTTACAACTTTATGGTTTGGCAGGCCCCTGTGTACACACTGCCTGTATGGTACCACCTAGTCAGCCTCGACGCTGGGGCATGTCCACAGACACCTGCCCTCACTGCCTGCCTGCTAAGCAACACTGGCCTGGTGCCCAGGGACAGCTCTGAGGCCGCTGGCGACGCCCAGGACCTGGGCGTCCCGTCGGCACTGACAGGTGTTTTGAAGACAATGAGTTCAAATCATTGATACCTTTCCAGTTCCTTTTTTGAGCATTAGTTCATCAAAGTGGAATATACCACCGACTTCACAAAAGGGCCAGTTTGTCTTCTCCACGGTTGCGTCCTCGGCACCCAGCAGAGAGCCTGGCACATAGTAGGCACTCAGTAAATACTGGTTGAAGGGGTTCATGTGTTTAAAGGAGAATGGGTTTGACTTTCACCCAGTGGAGCACATACCCAAGGTGGTGTCGGAAAGAGGCCAGGTGATGGCCACCACTTACTCCAAGTAAGTGTGGCCCTGTGCATCACAGGGAGTCACGGGTGAGCCCGAAAGCCTAGGGGCGCCCATATGGCTTCACCACCACACTCATTGGAGGTCGCATGCAGCGTGAGCTGCCCTCGGTGTTGGGAAAGGTACTTGGCATCTGTTCCACATGGCCCCAATTGTGGACAGCTGTGTCCAAGTGGGAACTCTCATGCCCTTGGACCAACCCTTCCCGCTCTGAACTGAGAGTGAACACTCACTCCCAACCACAGACAGTCTTGCCACCCAGCAATGGTATACAGATTGCCCAGGGTCAGGATGCTCAGCCCTTTCCAAGAGAGAGCAAAGCCATGGAGACTTGTCCCAGTGGTAAGGTTGTAGATAAAGCTCTGCCTTACGGCAAGGGAAGCTGGCAGGTCTGGGATGGGCACCTTAGACGGCACGGTGACCTGTCATCCGTCTGAGACTATTTCTGCTGCCCCTTTAATAAGGAGGCTGCAAGCTTGGCACTAAGGGCAGGGTTATGCCCTTCATGGAGATGGGCCAGGCCTGGGTACTCTGCTTCATGGGGTTCTGCTCTTGCTGTAGTCTTGTTTCCCCTCAAGTGAGGCTCCACCCCTTGGGGCACAGAAGTGCTACTAGACAAAACCTAGAGGCAGAATCTGGTACATGTCGGGGGCTTGAGGACGGGGCCTATAGGCGGCTATGGGACAGGAAGGAGGATGCCGACCAGTGAAGCACATGCAATGCCACAGGCATGCGAGGGGTTTGGGAAGGGGCCATGGGGTCCGAGCACCCACCCACACCGCCCTCACCTTGCAGTCCGTTCCCGTTGGCGCTGGTGCAGGAAGGAGGAGGCGAGGCTTGGGGCCGGACCACGGGCGCAAAAGCGCTCTTCTGTTTCACTGCGGAGATGACATTGGCAGGTGAGAATGAGAAAATGCCGTGTGTGCTGCTACAGTTTGAAGGGAGGGTGACCGAAGAGGCTGCCATGGTGGGGCTGGACGGCACTACTGCAACAAAGCAAACACGGTCAGCACGCGCGGGCTGTGGCGCAGCCCCACAGCGAGAGCTCTGAGGGCCTCGCCTCGCACGGGGAGGGGCCACAAAACAAGACATGACATGCTTCAGCTGGGCCACTCTGGATAACAGGCAAACGCTTTGTGGGGGGGTCAGGCTTGCTCTTCCAATTGAGCAGCCCCGTGTGGTTCAGATTTTATTTTGGTGGCCAATGGGATGGCGTTGTTGGGGAGGGCTGTATTAGGTCAATTTGTGGTTGTCATTTGGACGCCCAGCCTCTGGGGCCACCCTTCCTTTTATCCAGTAGCTCACATCACAGAACATCCAAGCAATACACACACTCGACTTTGTAGTGAATATGAATCTGCGTGATGACGTGTGACAAAAACAGACACTTACTGCCGTAGGGAGAGTTAGCGGAGGAGCCATTAAGAAATCCAGGCGAGCCAGGGACCCCTAGATTGGCCATGGCGCCACTTCCATATCCATTCATGCTAGTGCTGACTGTGTTGTAATTGGACTGCTGGGGAGTACTGCTGGGGACGTAGCCTCGCGGGGACACGCTGCTTGTATTGCGACTGTAGCCGACTGTTAAAATCCCCCCCCGGCCAAAAATAACATTATTATCAGTGACAGACACTTGGGGGGGGGGGTTTCCCCGAGAATCTATATCATATATTCAACATTTTTAATTGACTTTATGCTTCCTCTCGCCCTGGTGACTCTAGCCAGCTTGGATAATCTTATCATGCCAATCCTACCACTGGTGAGACCTGGTCCATCTCTGTTGGCTTCATGTCTAACCTTTAGCTGCTTCCACACATTGCTTTAGAAGCAATTGTCAACAGCTTGGATTCCTGACCTGCTACCCCACTCTCTCTGAACTTTCAGCCTCAACAGACCTTCAAATGCCATGGCTGACAAAGAGAGCTCGTTTATGGCCGTAACTTCCCTGGAAAGACTGTTTTAGGGGGTCTTCATTTACAGAGCTGCTGTCTCTGTGAGCGAGGGTGGGGTGGGCGCCATAGCTCCTGGCCTGCTGTGGAGTGTGGGTAACTGGAAACAAAGCCAGCGGTGCAGTGGGGTGGCTCTGAGGTGGCTGCCTGAGATGCTTTTATAGAGGATGTGCACTACACTGAGCTCCAAGGACGCCAGATTGTGACCTCAACAGTCCTGGTCGCTGTTCTATAGGATAAGGTACACCATGAAGGAAAATGGATGTTCTTATCCATGGATCCAGACCAGGATGGGAACCCAAATACCGCCCATGACACATCCAAGAAGGCTCCTCCTGGCTTCCTACAGCTGTCCTATGGCTCTGCCCATTCTTGCCAAAGAACACAGAGTCACTTACAAATAAGCTAAGGGGCACTTCTAGCAATACCAGGAAGCTGGGTGGCAGCCGATGGAGCTACTGACACTAGGACTGGGCCCTCTGAGTGTTCTCTGCCCAGTACAGCTGGAAGATGTGCGGCAAGGTCTTCCCTGCAAGAAGGAACCAGCCATGCCTAAGGGCATGGAATGTGACCAGCACTCCCCAGCTGGGCCCCAACACCTCCACCTGCAGCTATGGCCTCGACCCACCCTGGGGAGGGGGCCAGGGAAGGGTCCACCTGGCACAGTGGCCTACCTTGGTCATTGGCTTGTGAGGTCTCTGACACGTTAACAGCGAGCTGGCTGCTGAAGGAGTTCACGCCCATCATGCCGGTGTGTGCGGGTGTGTTGCCCAATGTGGGGATCTGGTTGTGATTGCGGGGAACACTGTACAATGCCTCAGCGATGTCAGCCGCTCTCTTCAGGATGATCTCCTGGAGAAACAGCAATGCATGTATAAACCGAAGGTGTCGTTCAAGGCCAGGTTCCGATGGCCAAATCCCACATATTGTAGGATTGTATTGTAGGGCAAGCAACAACTGCACGGATGCTTCTAAGTGGCTACATCTTGTCCTTAGGTCTGTAGCTCTAAGCCCTGGGACAGGCAAACAGCTGCAGACTCAGAATTAAAGAACTGGGCCACCTCCAGAGGAAATGAGTATCTCTTCCCTGGGGCCTGGTGACCTGCAAGAACAAGCTATGGGAAGCCCACAGGCCCTCCCGGAGCCCTGGGAATACCTAATACTCCTTACCCACCACTGAATACTGTAGGACTTCAAAGATACCCCCTTTCGGTGGAGTGGA